GGGCCCTCTTATACTTCTTGTAAGTCAGGACAAATGATGGTACTTTTATAATAGCAATATCTTTTCAATGCCAGCACTTCAGAATTTTGCTATCTTTAATTTGTCAAGTTAGTGAGATGTTTTTTTTTTGTTTATTTGCAACTAAAGTAAAAATGAGGAATTATGATGTTTTATTGAGTTAGCCTAATCTACAAAAAAATCTTTTCACTAAAGACTATATCATGTCCTAGAAACAAAGTTTCCTTCTCAGTACAACACATACTGTGAAAAGGGAATGAACCTGTTCAAAAGGAAGGAATTACTGAGTTGAGAAGGACTCGACTTAGAAAAAGAGTTGACCTTTTTCTCTTCTTAATTTCTTATATATTCTTTTTTTTCTTCTTCCAATTTTGCATGCATATATATCTGGTAATATGAACTACTAATTTGAAGACAACACTACACATTACAACAAATACTGTGAAATTAATATTATTTTGTTCAGTGAAATTCTGTACCATTTGTAACTTTTCTGTTTTAATACTATTTTGGACTCTCTTTAAAAAATAAATAAATAAGTCTTTTAAGTTTCCTTTTCCAAGGCCAGGATGTAGGAGACTAAAACTTATGGACACAACCACCATAGCATACATAAATACCATTAAAATGCATACTATATCCATCTTCTAAAATGCATATACAGAAGCTTGATAATAATTATTCTTAGGAATGTATATTCAAAGTTCTCCATAACTGATTATTTGGTACATTCTAAAAGATATCAAGCTTTAAAAACTGTAAACTAGGTGTGATGGTGCATGCCTGTTTATCCTAGCACTCAGAAGGCTGAAGCAGGAGGATTGCTATAAGGTCAAGACCAGCGTGGGCTACAAAGTGAGCTACACAGCAAGACCCTGTCTCAAAAAGACTTTTAAATGAATAAATAAACAAACAAACAAACTAGTCATTAAATGATAATCCTAAATATGGTAATACTACAGAAATGTAACAGATCAGTGTAGGATTGATTACAAAGGTATATCTTAAGGGAACTTTTGGGGGAAGGAAATTTTCTGTATGTCTGACTGCAGCAATACTTAAAAAACTGCTTTTGAAAAACTCTAGGAAAAAAAAACCTCTAGAAATTCTAAAAAACTGAATTTTACTTGTAAACAACAACAAAAATGAAAGTGATTGGTGGTATGTTATGGTTTGTATCAAGATGCCCCCCCCCCACAAAGCCTCATGTAGTCATGGGGCAGGATTCTTTTTTTTTTTTTTTTTGTAGAACCGGAGATTGAACTCAGGCCCTGAGCTATCTCTCTGGTCTCTAGGATTCTAGAATTTGTGATTAATTCATGATCCAATACTGGGATTATGGGTATAAGTGCTGCTAGGAATTCTGGGTGTGAGTGCTATACCCACCCTGGGGCAGATAGCATGAATGCTATGTAATATATAAGGAAGGGAGAGAGAGAGGCTTGCTCTCGGCTGCTGCCCCTCCCCATTTTGCTCTTGCTGCTTTGCTGTTTTCCAGCACCATGAGCTGCTGCCCTCTGCCTTTTGCCACTCTGCCTTGGGAGTCAGCTGATTATAGACTGAAATTTCTACAAACTTTAAGCTAAATAAACTTTCCCTCCTTAATGTTTGGGTGTCAGGTATTTTGTCTCAACAACAAGAGAAAAGTATCTGAGACATGGTATAACTCTGGTACAGTGCTTACCTAGCTTGTGCAAAGCCCTGGTTCAAGCTCCAGCATCCCCCAGCCACCCCCACCAAAAAATGGATTAAAAAACAAGAAGGCGCCAGGCACAATGGTACATGCCTGTAATCACAGCACTGAGGAGACCGAGACAAGAGGATCGTAAGTTCAGCCTACTACATAGTTACCTAGGCTTGAAAAAAAGTAGGACTTCCCAATAGCCACCTTTCAAAAATAAATACAATTAACTTTGTTTATACAATATCTTAACAGTGCTGAATTTCATTCTAAATACAGATCTCATCTTTCAAACAATAAAAGTATATTTATTAAAATATTTAAAAGAATGAGGCATCATTACCTACTGAAATAACATCTATAAAATTCTTAAGACTCACAAAGTGGAATACAATTATCATCCCTCTCCTGCAAAGAGAAAAGTGACTTTTTGGTCACACCTGCAGGAAATGACAAAGGCCTAAACACTAGTCGAGAGTTCTCTCTTTACACAGCCGTTCAATTAAGAGGCTATTCCACTAAACTTCACTAAACCACGTATTACCTATGAGTAGCTACAGAAATAAAACTTAAACACAATCTGTCATGATAATTTTTCTTCCAACATCTTAAGACCTTAGCTATGATTTTTCCATTATTTCTAAAAGTAGCCCAAGACAACCTATGAGGTAACACATATAATTTATATATAAGTAAAGTTCTAATTAGCATCTTAGGACTAAAGGTTATTTAAGAAAGTAATTTTCAGCTCTATATAAAAGAATAGGGGCCAGGGAGATGGCTCAGTAGAATAAGCACTTGCTTGGCAAGCACAAGGGCCTGAGTTCAATCTCCAGTTCCACCAAAATAAATAAATAAATAAATAGATAAAAGAGTAAAACCAATAACGATTAAAAATAAATAGGTTTAGGGTACTTTGTTAAGTGTTTCTCAAGAAACCAAGAATTAAACGTTAATAATATGGGTTTTAATGTCCTGAGTCTACTACTCCCTACCTTTTACATGGAAAGTTTTTAACAGTAAATAAATGGAAAGCACATTGCTGTTGTTTTACGTTTTTGTGTAAATATATCACTAAAATGGTCCAGAGTATATAGAGCTGAAAATTCTATTCAAAAACTTAACTTCAAACAGAAACAGTAACTCTAAATTCAAATAAAGCAAATCAAAATATAACTTCCACTTTGTTCAAACTAGCAATATTCTTTTCCTAATTTAAGCATATATCCTACTAACTTAAAACTCAGAAAAAAATATAACTTAACTATGTCCTCATACCTCAGAAATTAAAAAAAAAAAAAATTAAAAGCAGTTTTCTAAATGCCAAAGCAAACAGACAAAATATATTCTGCAAATTAGAATAAAAAAAAAAGTCAAAATGTTTCCCCATAAAATAAGCACTATTTTAGAGGCCCAGCACATTCATTCACTTCAAGAACAAAGAATTAGTAAAGAATGAACAAAAGAAGGTAAGAGTCTTCCCATCCATGCAAAGTGCATTTCCCACCTCTTTCTCCCTGTGATCCCCACCGTGTGAATTTTGATCCAATCTGAGTCCTAGCTAAGGATATACAACAGAAAAAAAAATTCTACTAGTCAGAAAACTCAAAAACCAACCTTTTTTACATCCAGACAGAGCTACATATACAGATATGTACATATGGATAAACCAAAGGTGCATTTATTCAAACAAGGAAAAGAATTCTTTACATTTATGGCACTCAATCTCCATGTTTCCCCACGGAATGAAGCCAAGACAGTCTTACCTGTTCTATATAGTATTGGGATGTGATCAGTAGAAAGCTTATGTTCACTCCGAACGCCAATCAATAGGGGGCTACCTCG